ATAAAAAATCATCTGGGAAAATGCAGATGTGTGCAAGGGTAGATGGTATGGGTAAAACTGCAGTATTTCCAGAATTATCACCTGGCCTTAGTGCATCACATCAATAGGTGTTTCCAAGAAGTGGAGAGAAGTAGTCTTTCTCCGTATCAATAGGTAATTACAAGAGTAAGCAAGGGCACATCTGGACTGGAGAGGTTGGGTGGGGTCCCTTCTTCTGCAGCTGGGTCATAAGAGACACCAGTGAGCAAAAGTGGATGACTGCTTGTAAGCAATAAACGGGTTTCTCCCACTTTATTTCTCCCTTTGACTGATTTTGGTTTCAAAGGTATTTTGCCCTGGGGTTTCCCCCCCAGAGTTACAGATGGAAATGCATTACTCTGTATAGACAACAATCTTTAAAAGAGATTTAAATAATAAGAAAATAAAGGCTTATATATACCAACATAGTCACCATTTCTGGTATTATTTATCATCTGCCATTTCTGAGCAGATTTTTCTCTTTGTTATGGGTCATATTTTCCTGCTGCTTTATATGCCTGGTAATTCTTTTAATAGGTATCATTGATATACAATTTTATGAAGGTTTCACATGAGCAACATTGTAGTTACAACATTCATCCATATTATCAAGTTCCCCCCCCCCACACACGCCACTACAGTCTGTCCACCACAAAAGTAAGATGCTATAGAGTCACTACTTGTCTTCTCTGTGCTATACTGCCTTACCTGTGACCTACCTACATCATGTGTGCTAATCATAATGCCTCTTAATCCCCTTCTTCCTCCCTCCCCACCCACCCTTCCCAACCCCTTCCCTTTGGTAACTGCTAGTCCCTTGGAGTCTGTTAGAGTCTACTGCTGTTTTGTTCCTTCAGTTTTGCTTTGTTGTTGAGACTCCACAAATGAGTGAAATCATTTGGTATTTGTCTTTCTCTGCTGGCTTATTTCACTGAGCACAATACCCTCTAGCTCCATCCATGTTGTTGCAAATGGTAGGATTTGTTTTCTTCTTATGGCTGAATAATATTCTGTTGTGCATATGTACCACATCTTCTTTATCCATTCATCTGCTGATGGATACTTAGGTTGCTTCCATATGTTGGCTATTGTAAATAGTGCTGCAATAAACATAGGGGTGCATATGTCTTTTTGAATCTGGGACCTTGTTTTCTTCGGGTAAATTCCTACAAGTGGAATTACTGGGTCAAATGGTTTTTCAACTTTCAGTTTTTTGAGGAACCTCCATATTGCTTTCCACAATGGTTGAACTAATTTACATTTCCACTAACAGTGTAGGAGGGTTCCCCTTTCTCCACATCCTCACCAGCATTTATTGTTCCTTGTCTTTTGAATGTTGGCCATCCATCCTAACTGGTGTGAGGTGATATCTCATTGTGATTTTAATTTGCATTTCCTTGATAATTAGCAATGTGGAGCATCTTTTCATGTGTCTGTTGGCCATCTGAATTTATTCTTTGGAGAAGTATCTGTTCAGATCCTCCACTCATTTTTTAATCAGGTTATTTGCTTTCTGGGTGTTGAGGCCTGTGAGTTCTTTATATATTTTGGATGTTAACCCCTTATCGGATATGTCATTTATGAATATATTCTCCCATACTCTAGGATGTCTTTTTGTTCTACTGATAGTATTCTTTGCTGTACATATTTTTAGTTTTATGTAGTCCCATTTTTTCATTTTTGCTTTTGTTTCCCTTGAACGAGGAGACATGTTCAGGAAAAAGTTGCTCATGTTTATATTCAAGAGATTTTTTCCTGTTTTCTTCTAAGAGTTTTATGGTTTCATGACTTACATTCAGGTCTTTGGTCCATTTCGAGTTTAGTTTTGTGTATGGACTTAGACAGTAATTCAGTTTCATTCTCTTACATTTAGCTGTCCAGTTTTGCCAGTACCAGTTGTTGAATCCATGGCTCCTTTATCATATATTAATTGACTATATATACTTAGGTTTATATCTGGACTCTCTATTCTGTTCCATTGATCTATGGGTCTGTTCTTGTGCCAGTACCAAATTATTTTGATTACTGTGGCTTTGTAGTAGAACTTGAACTTGGGGAATGTAATTTCCCCAGCTTTATTCTTCTTTCTCAGGATTGCTTTGGCTATTTGGGGTCTTTTGTCATTCCATATGAATTTTGAAACTATTTGTTCTAATTTGTTGAAGAATGCTGTTGGTATTTTGAAAGGGATTGCATTGAATCTGTAAATTGCTTTAGGCAGGATGGCCATTTTATTCTTCCTATCCATGAGCACAAGATGTATTTCTGTTTATTAGTGTCTTCTTTAATTTCTCTCATGAGTGTATTATAGTTTTCAGGGTATAGGTCTTTCACCTCCTTGGTTAGGTTTATTCCTAGGTATTTTATTCTTTTTGATGCAGTTGTAAATGGAATTGTTTTCCTGATTTCTATTTCTGTTAGCTCATCATTAGTATATAGGAATGCAACAGATTTCTGTATATTAATTTTGTATCCTGCAAGTTTGCTGAATTTAGTTATTAGTTCTAGTAGTTTTGGAGTGGATTCCTTAGGGGTTTTTATGTACAATATCATGTCATCTGCAAACAGTGACAGTTTAACTTCTTCCTTGCCACTCTGGATGCCTTTTATTTCTTTGTATGCCTGGTAATTTTTAATTGGATATCAGACATTGCAAATTTTACTTATTGGGTGGTGGCTATTTTTTACTCCTACAAATATTCTTGAGCTTTGCTCTGGGGCACAGGTTACTTGGAAACAGTTTGCATCTTCCAGAGCTTACTTTTAAGTTTGTGGGACTGGAGAAATATTTACTCTAAGGCCAATTTTGTTCCCGTACTTGGGCAAACCTCTTCTGAGTAACCTATCTGATGCCCCATGAGTAGTGAGGATTTTTACTCTGAGTTAGAGAAACAGAAGATATTTCTAGCTCTATGTGAGCTGTAGGGATTGTTGCCTCTAACCTTTTGGGGAGCTTCTTTCTCCAGCCTGGAGCAGCTTCCTCACAGCCATGTACTCATAAGAGTTGAAGGCCCAAAGGGGCTTCTCTGTAGATCTCCAGATTTCTTTCTCTGTGTAGCTGTTTCCTCTCTAGCACTCTATCTTGTGGCCTCCAGCTGCCTAGGTCTTCTCAGAACCCTAGTTCTATCTCCTCCACTCCCACAAGCTGCCAGGGTCTGCTTGGGTTCCTGATCTTTCTGCTGCAGCCTGGAAACTGTCTCCAGGCAGTAAGCTGGGCACTGCTAGGACCTGCCTCATTCGCTACTCAAAGACCACTGTCTTTCATTGCCTATGTCCAGTGTTTTGAGAAACTGGTTACACACACTGTATCAGGTATTTTGTCTCAGGCAGGATGGGGTTGGGTGTGAAATCTGATTCCTGTTATTCCATATCTGCTGGAAGTAGAAATACATTGTTGTTGTTTTTGCAGTTTTCCCCAGCACATTGAACTGAGCATTATCAATGAAGGACTACAAGTTGAAAGTAGTACTTAATGTCATTGAACATATCATGTGTTATAATGTAATCAGGTAGTATTAACAAACTATTATTATGTATATTTGTTCTGTAGTTCTCCATCCTTGCACATCCCCTCAAGCCAGATATGTTTTGGTCCAAAAATAAAGTGGAGATGAAGAGAGGTAGAATAGAGAAAGTAACTACCTTCCAAATATCTGACAGTATCTCTCTAGAGCCTGGCATATTATCAGCAGTCAATTGCTTATTCAATAATTGAATGAATGCATGCATGTATGCATGAAAGACTATGACTGATGAATGGTTGCTTTCTTACCCCACCAGTTCTCCACTGTGCAGACCAAAACCACATGACTGCTCAAGAGTCTTCCTGCCTGGGAGAAACGTCTGGGTTATGGGGGACAGCACACTTCCCCACACACTATCCCCACCTTGTTCTGGATCATTTCCTCACTCCTCAATGTCTTCCTCATGGCAGTACTGCTTTTAGGTTGATGCTGAGCTGATGTCCCTTTTCCTTTCATGTGTTTGGAAGTGGATTTCTCCTTTCTTTGCCATAACTTTGTGACCCCTTAGGTGCAGGAATATGAGCACCAGTTTTAATGAGGTTGCAATTTTTGGAGTATCAGAACACTGCTCTATCTTTTCTATTTGTGAAAACCTTCCAATATTTCTCTTAGTAATAATCTGTACCCTATTATTATGTAGCCATGGGGCTATTACTGTATAGAAAAAGAGAATTTGGGAGAGCTATCTCATTTTTGAAATTAGTGGGGCTAATTCCACTAAAAAATTAATAGGCAAAAGTGAATACCTTTATACATCATTGCTAAAATGTGTTCAAAGAGAACAGTAATAAGCAACCTAATAGTTTTGAAATGTTTCCCACGTAAGAGTTTTTATTCTGGTTCTGCACTCAATGAGAGGTACCTACAACAGACTACAGACAAAAATAATTAGGGAGGGCTCAATAAAAATTTCCAGAAAACAGTAATATAGGGAATGTTCAGTTTTGTAGATATCAGGGAAGTTCCTATATCTGAATTTCAGTGTTAACATTAAGTGATGAAATTCCTAATTCAAATAGGATAATATAAAACAAGACTGCAGACTTGGATTATAACTGCCTCACTTCCAAAAAATCTGAAAATTTTATGACAGTAAAATCTCTCAGATAAAACTTCTTGGTGGGGAGAGTCTACCAAAAAAATGAGTCCAATTTTGTAAGGTCAGGGAAAATAATAGGATAAAGAATGGTTAGGAAGAGCTGGAACCAGTAAGCTGGAACAGGCAGGCAGCCAGGTGGGGGATGACAGAGATGTCTACCTTTTTAATGAACAGGAAGGCAGGGGTAGAATGGGGGCAGCCTTACCTCAGCAGAGGGGATAGTTGCACAGTGGTGAGGGGCTGGAGTCTGAGCGGCCTTGGAGGAACGCTGGCTCTCTTAAGCACAGTTGCCACTAGCCTGCTTCAGGGTTCCTCAGTGATGGTCCTGGGCCCTTTGTTGCTGAGGGTGGCTCTATGAGAGCAAGGCGGGGCTGCTCGAGGGGCAGGTGCGGCAGCGGTGGCTGGCTGACTCCTAGACCCCAAGCCAAGGGCCTTCTCTGGGAAAGTGGATGCCAGCATTACTTAAGGGTGTTAGAGTTCCTATTGTACTGGAACCTAAACTGGCCTGGAAACTGGGGAGTGACCTCACGTGGACTATTATTTACAAAGATTTCAGGGTGTTCTGTAGATAAACGATGTCGTCTCCCTCCTGCCTTGGGCTTAGGGCGGGCGCCTTGGGCCTTGATGTCACGGGAAGACTCATCTGGATCCAAGGGCGCCGCTTCCTGGAGAGGCAACGTCCTGGCAGGTTTCTTTTCCTTCTTCTGAGGGTTCTCCTGTCTTGACTCCCCTGAACCCCCAGTGTCAGTTTCTTTGAGTGGCCATATTAGGAAAGTAGAGTTCTTTGGGTCCACGTTCTCCCTAGAGAGAGAGAGAGAGAGAGAGAGAGAGAGAGAGAGAGAGAGAGAGAAATTAGGGTTACCCTAGTCTTGATGGCTGCTGTCTCTACAGAGGTGTCCAACCCAGCCCTGCAAGTGTTTCTGAGCCCTTTGTCCCTTGTCCTCTTTCCCATGGGATGGAATCTCAGGAGTCCTGTAGGCCCTGTTATTTGGGCTGGGCTGTATTCCACCCAGTTCATATCCACAGGTCCTTTGATGTCTGGGAGCTTCACATGTCATGGAGAACCTAATCATTTGGGCTCTGTCCTGACCAAGACAGTGAGTGAAGGAACTCCTGCCAGGAAGCCCACTGGCACGTCTCCTGTCCATTCTAGGGTGATAAACTTGGCCACATGACAATCCAGTTCATTTCTGACACACTGAACTGGAGCTTGTACAATAGAGACACTCTTCCACACTTTCAGATTTCTCTGATTACTGTAAGGTGTGCCATTAGAAAAATGTCCTCAAACTCCAAAACCAATATGATTCTTAATTAAATTTAATTGACAAAACTTAGGTATGACTATGAAGTCATAGAACTGGACTTAACATTTGGAAAATATAATGCAGGTGATCAGCTAATATTTAACAAGGGAGCCAAGAATAGTCAATGAGGAAAGGATAGTCTTTTCAATAAATGGTGTTGGGAAAACTGGATATCCACATGCCCCTATCATAAACCACTCACAAAAGCTAACTTGAAATGCAACATAAAGAATGGAATGAAAGAACTGAAACATATTACTCTTAGAAGAAAGCATAGGGAAGAAATTCCTTGACATTGGTCTTGACAATGATCTTTTTGGGTATGACACCAAAGTACAAGCAACAAAAGCAAAAACAAACAAATAGGACAACATCAAACTGAACATCTTGCACACCAAAAGAAGCAATCAACAAAATAAAGAGGCAACCCATGGAATATGACAAAATACAAAATATTTGCAAACCATGTATCGGATAATAGATTAAATTTCCAAAATATATAAGGAACTCATACAACTCAGTAACAAAAAGACCAACGACCTGATTAAATAATGGGCAGAGGACCCAAATAGACATTTTTCCAAAGAAGACCTACAAATGGCCAAAATGTACACAAAAAGATGCTTCACATCACTAGTCATCAGGGAAATGTAAATCAAGACCAGAGTGATACCTGACCTCACACCAGTAAGAATGGCTACTATCCAAAAGACAAGAAATAACAAGTGTTGGTGAGGATGTGGAGAAATTGGAACCCTACTGCACTGTTGAAGGGAATGTAAAGTGGTAGAGAAGCTGTGGAAAACAGTATGGTAGTTCCTCAAAATAACTACAAATAGAATACCATATGATCAGCAACTCCACTTCTGGGTATATGTCCATAAGAAGGAAAGCAGGGACTCAAACTGGTATTTGTACATTGCAACATTATTCACAGCAGTCAAAGGTAGAAGCAACTCCAGTGTCCACCAATGGATGAGTGGATAAAACAATTGTAGTGTGTTCATACAATGGAATATTATTTGGCCTTAAAAAGAAAGGGAATTCTGACATATGTTCTAACATGGATGCACTTTGAAGACACTATGCTAAGGTAAATAAACCAGTCACAAAACGGCAAATACTGTTTAATAATTCCACTTACACGAGGTATCTAAAGTAGTCAGAATCATTGAGACAGGAAGTAAATCAGTGGTTGCTAAGCGCTGGGGTGGAGAGTGAATGGGGGGTTAACTGTTCAGTGGACACAGAGTTTCAGCTTGGGATGATGCAAAAAGTGCTGGAGTGGCTGATTAGGATGGCTGCACAACAAAGTGAGTGTAGTTAATGCCACTGAACTTAAACTTTTGTGCTTAAACATAGTTAAACGAGAAATTGTATGTGTATCTTACCACCATGAAAAAAAAAATGGTCTGGGCAATAGCAGTAACATTGAAAAAAGGCTTTCCAGGAGGCCGCAATAAGGCCAGCACCTGTGTAGTTGCACAAGCTGTGGGAGGCCAGGTTCTCCGAGACTCATTTTGAAACCACACTACAAAGTTGTAATCACCACCCTGCTCTGTGAAATCTAACGTCTTATCCACTACATTGCCATCGATGATCCCTCAAACTGCTACCTCTCTCTACAGCAGGAAAAGTTGCTAGAGTCTGTTTCCTTTTCAGAGGTTTTTCTCTATTTCCTTTGTATTAGGACTGGTCTCAGTCCAGTCTATGATCTGGAACCTCTTGGAAAGAAGAGCAATGAGGAAGAGTGGGATGGAGCGAGGGTTTCAGGTCCACTGACGGCCCGCAAAGGGAGAGGGAGAGGAGAGGCCCACACATGTATTTGAAGGACACCGGGGAGAGGAGCAGGAGAGATCACAAAGCCACGCATGTCTAGCCTTCAGTAGGGGATTGGCCACATGAGTTATGGACCACCAAATTATTAATGATGGAATGACTAAATTCGGTAGGCAATAATGGAATAAGAGGTGTCCTTGTCATGCAAAGATGCAAATGATGCATTGTTAAGTGGGAAAAAGTCACAAACAGAATGTAAGTCATATTTTCATTTTTGTGTTATTAAGATTGTGAATACATAAGGATGACTGGAACCTTTGCATTAGACTGTTCAGAGTTGCCTCAGGGCAATGAGTTCCAGTAGAATTGTCACTTTCTCTACATTTAAAAAATGTTTTGCAACTATCATAAATGATAAGGAGAAACAAAGATTTTTATTTTGAGGAAAAACAATAGACATAGAGAAAACACTCTAGAAGGATAGATATCAAAATATAAATGTCATTACTTAAAAAATGTGATACTATAGATGGTTTTTATATTTTTTTGCTTGTAATTTCTAAATTATACTAATTATGCATTACTGTTGGAATAAGAAAAAAATACAAGTCATGATTAGATTTAAAAGCAGATAGATATCTTGAGCAAGTTAAAGTTGATTTTTTTTACATCAAGTAAACAGATGTTGCTCATCTACCCTATTTTACTCCCCATTAGGAATGATTGACTTTGACCAAGTTCAAGATATTCCACAAGGAAATGTCCCCTTGTGTGTATAGTGGGCAGGCAGGTGTGAATCTGATGTGAAAGCTCTTGTCCAACCCCTTTTCCCCATCCTCCTCACCAACCCTCAGCTTGGCCCAAACCCACTCAGATGCAAGGTGGAGGGTGGCCAAGCTCCTGACTTCCAGCCAGTGGACATTTCAGCACTCCTGAGAAGGCCCTGCTAAGTGGCTTTCTTTGGCCCTATCTCAAGCCAAAACTGAGTTAAGTGCTTATTAATTATTTTAAGTTATAGACTAATGAAATATTATGCAAAACAGGCCAAAACTATGCATGTGTGTGGAGAGGCGGAAGCGGGGACAAGCCAACAGTGGGCTGTCATTGGCTCTGCAGAAGCGGCTGGCTCCATGCTGGGGAAGGAGGTGCCGAGCACCCTTTCCAGGCTCTCCTTGGGTCAAAACCCAACTCACTCGATTAACCAAACATTGTCTGCTTGCCTGTATTCTAGATCTTTCCCTGAGGTCTCATTGCTATTTTTCCCTAAGCCTCTGTCAGCAGTTGTCTAAGAAAGTTCTAAGACTTTCTTAGAACAGAAAGAACAGAAGGGAGGCCCCAAGGAAAAGTCTGATGAGGACAGGAGGCCCCTGAGTTTTAACAATGGAAGGGGCAGAAAATGGAGAGACTGATAGGAAATGGCTGTTGCCATCCAAATTGCTACCACTGGCCCTCAGGGTTAACACATCTGTGTGACTCTGTGACTCCCTGGTACTAGGTTACCAGAGTGTGCTCTTGAAGACAGGCAGTGGCACTTGTCCCTTTGGATTACATAGGACACCCCAAGGCAGGGTATGTTTCAGTACTAGAAGATGGGCTCCAAATCTGAGCAGAAGGGATGAAGATGCTGGTGGCATATGCAGGCTTAATGATTTAATGACACAGTGACCAGGCCAGATTATGGGAAGTGATTCATCTCATGTAATGTCAAAGGCTGTGCTGAATCTTGAAGTTTCAATCAATGACTTAATGTCACTGCTGGAAGAAGAAATGTGACGCCACATAATGCAGAGCAGAGGGAGGCGCTCTAAGCAATCTGTGAATTATAATCTCCTTTGGGATATACTTCTAAGTCCAAATGACTTGATGAAAAATTATTAAACTGCTCAGAGATGATGGGAGACTAAAATCTTTGTAATAGGAATTGGGAGCTGATACACCCAGCCAAACCACATCTGAATCTGGGAGACGGTCTCCCCTACCCTGCCCTCTCTTAGCCTCAAACACAGCCTCCCCTCAAGGCGTCACAACTACAGTCCTACAGCAAGGGAAGAACGCTCCTTGCCTTCAGGGGCTCACTGCCTGACAACCTCCTTCAAATGTCCAGGGGGTTTTCTGGAGCACAGAGAAAATGATTAATTCAGTCTGGCTCTCCTGATCCTACTGAGAATGCTGTGAATTTTTTCAAGAAATCAAGCTCCCTCTAAAGTAAGTCTATGGAGGAGCCTCAGATGTAATTTGCTGAAGCCTTGTTCTCGTTGAGAATGGAAGATGGATTCCAATTCTTCTAGGAGGGATGCCCAGTCAGTTACATGGCACCGGGTATGTGGATTCAGCCCTGGTCTGCCAGAAGGACGCTGCCCGGAGGCGCACACAGTCACAGCCTGTACTCAACCACCTCCCACTGGGTGGGTGACACCTGGTAGGAACACTTCCCCTCCCTGGAGAAATCAAGAAACCAGGGGCCCCTAACCTACCAGACATGCTTCCCCTGGCGTGGGCTTCTGATAGGACCAGACCCCAGGGGAAATCATCACGGAAGAGCTCAGGCTGTGAGTCCCCTGCCTGGCAAAGAGGGAGGATGCCAATGGGGGAAATTTCTCCTGGTCTGCCCACTTCTTGGAATTAGGAGAAATTACATGTGCATTCTCTAAGTGGAGACATTTATAGACAGGTTAGGGAATATTTTTGCTCAGGACAGACATCTCAGATGCCGAGAAATGTAGCAAAAAGCTCAGGCATCCCGCTGAAGGTAAGGCAAGGCAGCCGCTTCCCTCTGTCAGATGTGTGCTCGGGAGACACGCCTCTCCTGCAGCTGTGCTGTCAAGGAATGCAATCACATCGTGTTGCAAAAGAAAGGGAAAATCAGCAACAGCCTTACCCGATTTCATATTGCAAATGCAGGGATATGAAAATTCTCTCCTTTAAGAACTAGTTATTTGGAATCTAGCAATATGGACAACATATTTTTCACGCCAACCTTGCCAAAAGTCTTCAAGAATCATTTATGTATCCAGTTTTGTGTTGAAAATGAAATGTGCATCAGCTTTGGCCATATTTGATCAATTTTGATTGCTTCATCATCCAAACACCTTCCTACCTATCTTTGTGCACTACACTCCCTTAGGAACAAGAAGAGTGGGCCTGCGGAAAATACTTGTCACCCACAGCTGACAAGAAAGAAGAGAAAGTGGAGGCGCAGAAGACACAGAATTGAATGTCTGGCATCTGGACCTACCAGGCTATCGGGGGCCATGTACCCCTTTATCTGACTAACCCCAAATGGATGGTTATAGTGGGTTCACTATTTTAAAATTAGTCAAATGCTGTCATGTTGGAGTTGGAAGCCACAGTACACTTCTTTAATCAGCCTATGAAGAAAGTACCAGGACATTTTTTTTTTTTAGATGGTCTCATTGTGTACAACAGTGTAAAGACTTGCTTAAGAACAACCAAAGGGAGACGGAGCATTTATGAAGTGAGGAAGGGCCTCTGTTGAGAAAGGACCCTCCAGAGGGAAATCCCAGCACAGATACAACAGAGGACCCACACTGCATTTTGTGCGATCACATCCACCAGGGCTGATGATAAAAACAGAGACAGACTCGGCTCTGAATTTAGTGGGTTGGATCTGGTCTCTGCTTCAGACAAATAAATGCAGTCTCTTACTAGCGGGGAGGCAGCTAGAGCAAAACACAGTGGAAATTCCAGTGGGGAGTCTAGGGAGTCAATGAACACTTCTGCTGCGTAAAGCCCTAGAAGCTAGGGGGGATAACGAGCAGCTAAGAGCTTTAAATGAGGCCTGGGGTAGTACTAAGGCAGAAAACAGTTAAAGGCTTTTCTCAACAAAGAATTTAACTTAAATTTGAAATGGTGATTGATAATGTTTAATTTAGTGAAAATGGTCAATACTGAGGCACATCTATTCATAAGCCTTTATAGTGTACTATAATTTGGATATCATATTGCTTGAATAAGATTTTGAATTAACAAAAGAAATATGGTATTATTTTAAATGAACTATATACTTATCCAGAAAAAATGAAGACTTGAAGTAGATATTTTCAATCAGTGCACCTGAGGAAGGTTCTCTTCTCAGGCCATCAGGCTGCATTAGAGCTCAGCAATGAGGAGGGGGAAGGAGGGCTCTAGGTGACCGGGGGAGGGCTATTCACCTGGGATTGTGTGCAGTGTGCACACGTGCCTATATGTGTGTAAACAGGGGAGGCCAACTTGGGTTTTCCCCGAGGTGAGGTAATCAATGGAGAGGAGCTAAGGAGAGGGGAGAGAAGGATGCTGGGGTAACTGGCAGAGTAAGGACCCGGGCAGTGGGGACCCCAGGCTTGGGGAGGCTGGTGGACATATCGGCCTCGGATGAGAGGAGGGACTTCGACATCAGGGGGAACAAGAGAAGTTTCCACAAGCCTGGATAGCAGGGGGTAGTGGGTAAGAGGCGGAGGAGAGAATGCTTGATGGTTTCCCTTCATGAAGTACAAGATGAGGCCATTGGGAGAAAGAAGGGTGGCACCCACGCCAGCCTGCAAACTCCAAGTGAAGCTGGAGGGTATTTCCTGGATCCCTTTTTCCAACCTTTGCTCAAAATCTACCTTCACATCCAAGGTCATGACACTGACCTTGAGGCACCACACTGGACCTGTGGACTTGGGCTTTTGCCTGCCTTCTAGGCCTCAGCCTTTTTTTATTGACCTGACTTTACTCCACCTTTTGGCTCTTAGGGATCCTACTGCCTCAGATGGGAATGGGTTCACCCCACTGTAGCCCCTGGATACCACCACCCACCACTCACACTCATCAGGGCACAGGCAGGCCAGGTCACACCCCACTCTCACTGGCTGACAAGGGGAGAGGAAGATGGTTGATTGGTCCCAATTGCAACATAGTTTAACTTCGCTTTATAGTCAGACTTTGTTAGAAGGCCTTGAATCCTTACAAATAAAAGAGGAATCATTCCTTTCAGATTCATGGCAGATTTGAATGCTTTTCTGCAGGGTCACTAAAATAATGTAGGATTTGAGATTAGAACCAGACAAATAGCCATTACGTAACAGTTGTGATGTGGAAGGAATAATTGTCATAGTACTACATTTAAGCAGGAAGTCCTCTGCCTCTGCTTTTCTGTCCAAGTTAGAGATCATGGATCTCAACTCAAACAAATTAAAGGTGCAAAGATGTAAATAAAATTCAGAGAGTAGAAAGTTGGGTCCACTTACATTTTTGGATCCTCCTGAATTTGAAGTGATTTTATATGAGAGCAGGAGAGGGCATACTTGTTTTGGCTGATCTTAATAAGTGCACTCCGAGGGCAAAATTCCTGTAGTAATGCCAAAAGAGTTTGCTCAGTTTACATCAGAAATGTCCACAATTCAGATGTAATTTTATTTTAGCTCAATTCATTATAATAGCTACTAACCATCCTATTCAAGGTGATACTTAAGAGAGCAGTTTAAATGCAGAGCTTAGCTTGATGACTCTATGCTGAATAAAAGTCATCATTCAGTCCTCTGACATCTTCCCATATTCTAGGTTATTTGCAAAGTCCACCCACATACGAAGCACATGTACACACACGCCCATGCCCATACCCTCACCGAACCATGTTCTTTTCTATATTTTAGCCTTTGTCACCTCTTTCTTGGACTTACAAATCAAGACCAGCCTTGCTTGCCGACTGCCCCACCTTCAGCCCCAGGAGTCTCCCAGAATCTTTCAGAATTGTCTTCAGTGTCTATCCCCCAACCATGCCGCTCTAGCTTCCAGGGCACACTGTGGGTAAATTCCAAGGTCCTTCCTGGGCTCCGAGGCTCTTCCCAGGGTTCCCGGCCCTCTGCTTCATCTACCCCCATCCCACGGGCATGCGCAGGGGCATCTCTTCCAGTGTCCCTGGGATTGCTCTCTTTCTCCTCTAATACCGAGTAGATACGCCCAGAGCAGTGCCGCATGCCAGACATGTTTCCCCACCAGCTGTCCTTACACACTGGCTTCTTTACTGTTCGAATAGCTCTAGAAAGTCGGTTTTCCTTTGCAGTTTTTTCCTGGGGTGAGGAGAAGGCTCCCTTTTCTCCTCTTGTTCTATCAGGTTGGACACGGTGGTTCCGGGGCCACTGGCTCTGATGGGCTTCCCTGTTCCCTTAAACTAAGTCCATTTACCATGCTCTCTCCCTGATGGGAACTGACTGGATATTTTGATTCTGTACACTAGGAAGTTGGGCCATGGAGCCAGACTACCTGGGTTCAATTCAAACACGGGTTTCTCTGCCTTCCTCCTGTGTGACCTAACTTTGCTGATTCAGTTTCCTGATCTGAAAATGGGGGTAATAACAGTACCTACCTCACAGTGTTTTGTGCATTCAGTTGTCCACTATGTGTAAAGCACTTGGGTTAGTACCTGTGGCACACAGTAAGTGCTTAATAAAGTTAACCACTAGTATTATGTTTCCTGATTTTTGCTTGCTAGTCAATTTTCCAGGCATAGTATGTGGTTCATCAGGGCAATGTTATTTCCCTTAGAAATGTCACTCATTCAAGAAATTTAAAAAGCAATTGTGAGAACCTTCTCTTCAGGGGCTGTGCCAGGGCACCAAGATGGATAGGACATAGTCCCTGCCTTTAAGGGATCAGAGATGGGTGAGGGGGCCAGTGAGGGAAGAGGGCGGCACAGTGCACAGGGGAACCCTGAGGGCCTCAGTATGAAGTCACAGGTGGGCAGGGTCAGGTGACAGGAGTTTCTGTGGGAAGAGGAGGAAAAGGGCAGTCCAGGAAGAGGCAAAGTCAGGGCTTGGAAAAGCCTGCTGCGTCCTTCCATAGGGCTGGAACCCGAGCTCGTGGGGCTGGCTGGGGTCACGTGGGGCTTTTCCTTGAGGTTAATGAGAAGAGTGTTTACGCAGGGACATCAGGCAGGCAGATTGTATCACCAGATTTGGAAACTCATAAAGATGTCCTCTAAAGCTTTTAGGAAACACATGGGGAGGCCTGGCAGGGGAGCCTAAGGCAGGAGCAGGCTGGGTGGCAGTGGGGAAGTGAGGGAAGGTGGTGGTGTAAGGGCTGCAGGGACAGCCTCCCCTGCGGGCACATCCTGAGTGAGAGCCCCAAAGACCTCCCTGGGGGCAGATCCTGTGCTGCAGAGTGGGCAGAACCCAACCACAGGGAGCGGAAGCCCCGGGAGTGGGCAGAGCCAGGCAGTCAGTCACGCTTCCCAGACATATGGCAGGGCCTGGAAGGAGCCCAAAAGAAAGGCTGGGGGGAAATAAGCCACTTTCTGCTGTGTGAGAAAGTCCTTTTTTTACTGAAAATCCACTTACTCTCCGGTTGTTACACTTTAAAACTGTGTAGAATTTATTTTGGGCCACATCCTGATTTGGAAGTGCTATGACAATAGCAGGGACATAGAAGTCAAATCCGTTGGGTATCACAATCTTGGCAAACACGTAATCTCCAACCTGTAGGTGAGAATGTATTTCATAGCACATATTTTGCTTATAGATCTCAGAGATAATACTAATATGCTTGTTTTAAAACACCCCATGATAATTAGCAAGGACTAATGTTAAAATTCAAATACATATTTTTTTCTCAGTTCATAATGAGTCAAGAATTCCCAGATCCCCTGCACTCCTTGGGCCACACGTGGATTTTGTAATCAGTTCGGGGAAGCCCAGTTTTAGAAGGACTTCTCCACCTGACATAGGACCCAGAGACAGCCAGCAAGATGCCAAGGGGTCTGGAAACCACCTGTAAACACTGGTTGAAGGAACCGGGAGTGTTTCACAGAATGACCAAGGAGAGACGTGAACAGTGTCCTCATATACCTGGAAGGCTGTCACCCAGACAAAGGGAAGAGGCAGGTTTGCTTAACGGTGCTCCAAAGCACACACTTAGAATCCACAGGCCAAAGTTACAAAGAGGCAGCTTCCAGTGGAAAGTCAGTCTTGTGAAGGGGCATTTGTCAGGTGGAGAGGGGCAGCTGTCAGGGGAAAAGGGCAGGGCATGTGCCCTGGGTCTGTTGGGGTAGCCAACAGGCAACCACCATGGAATCCTAGGTGCTCCTCAGGTGCTTTGCCTCCCGGTTCACCCCAGCTAAGAAGCAGCAGAAGTGGAGTTCTCTGGCATCAGTGCCAGGATGAGAGGAGTGGAGAAGGGTGGGCCAGACACAGCACAGGTTTTATGAATTTATAAGCAGGTGGGAACGCAGCCCAGCTCACCTGTGCAATGCATGTTCAGGGGTAAGTGCTTTATGGCATTGAGGTCTGACATCAACTGACTGTAATGCAAGGAAAGTGCCACCTCTGCCCTTGTTATTAAATCTGTTTTAATATAATCTTTTGCAGTTAAAGTTTCAAGGGCACCAGCAGTTACAGCAGCTGCCTCCACCATCTATTGTCTGTAAAGCAACTATTGGCCTTAGTGTACAATGCAAGCAAGTCTGTGCAGTTGTGAAGTCACATAACAGATTGGGGGCCTGAGCAAAGGAATGGCCAGGCAAGGGGTCGCAGGAACAGGGCCACTACTCTTCCTGCCAAACACAAGTCCCCTGCAGGAGCCCACCCAGATGATCAGCAAAGGGCCAAACAGTGGCGTGCCATCCCATTAACCACAACTCTTGATTATGGTGCCCCAGGAAGAGACTGCTGGAGCAGGTATACCTGGAGCAGTGGGCAGGGCATGGCGCCCCCAACAGGAGTGATAAAGGAGATGGGCACAACCTTGGTATCTCCGTATCTGAAGACCACTAGTGCATGGGTGGGGCTCACACACTTCTTCACAATCCCTGGAAGGAATCGAATTTAAAATAAAATATACAGACAAATAATGCCTATTCCCTTAGACTTGCCCCATCCTGTTGGCTGTGCTAAGTTATAACACTTGGTCTCTTTAAATCAGTGTGCCCTTTGATTTCTCCACCAGATAACGTTGGACACTGTATAAGGCACATGGGGGTTGAGCCGGTCAAAGTGGTGAAGGGCGATGCTCTGGTCTGCAGCATCGCTGTGCTGGGAACTCAGAGCGGGCACAAACTTGTTCATCCAGCGCCACCAGAAACCATCCTGACAGGAGCAGCGTTCCCGGAAACAAATATCCTCTTCCTGGACTTCCTACCATCTGATTTCCTTATCTATTTGGTTTAGCCATATTTCCTTCTATAATACTTAGATATAGAAACCAACATTAGATTGTGCAAAAAAAACAGAATTTGATCTCTCATCATCAGCTTTTCATGTAACATTAGATAAATGAGAAGGTAGCTCGGTTGAACGCATCCCATGGCTTCCCTCCCGGGTACAGCATGGAAGGAAAAAGAGAAAAGTAGCAAGATGTTTCTGTGCCTTTTAATTTTACAAGCAAAGAGAGTGCCATAATGGGAAAGGAGCCACTGTAAAGCTCATGCAGTTTGTCATTTATCCCAGTTGAAATTCATTTTCCCATTATAAAGGGATTATAAATATTAAGGGGAAGTTTGGCACAGACACTTCCCAGGCAGTAACAGCTGCAGGCAGACTCCCACTTCAAGACAGAAAAGGTCCATGTCCCCACTGGGCTCCCATGGCCAGAGTGCCTGGCATTCCCGCCCCAGCTCACACGCCTGCCCTGGCAAAGTCCCATATCCTTTTAGGTGGAAAAGAACGGCTGCTGATTTTCATCTTGGGTTCAAGTCTCTTGTTTTAAATGGCCAAAAAAATGAAAACCTTTTTTTTTTCATTGCACATATATGAAAACCAGCATTCCATTGTGTCTGTTTTCTTCTTGGATTCAAGTGTTAGTTTGGTTTTTGAAATATTCTTTACACATTATTCACACATTTCTACCAAAAACAGATTGGGGGCCTGAGCAAAAGACTTTATGCTTTTAATTAGAAAAACAAACACTACTTTTTAGAAAGAGTTGCCTGTTAGGAAAACAATGTGTAACAAATGTCAAAAACTGGTGAATCTGGGTAAAGAGTATACAGGAATTCTTCGTGTTAGTCTTACAACTTTCCTGCAAATTTGAAATTATTATATTTGTAAGAAATAACAATGCTGGTAGAGTTGAAATTCCCAATACAAGAAAAGAGTAATTGTATTTAGGGGTTAGAGGGAACAAAACCTAAGTACATCTAGTAACCCATGTACCATCATTTAATTTGGCTGAGTTAATATTTACTAACTAGACACTAATCAAAATGACTGATTATATGACTAAATTCAAATGTTTACTTCCTCTAAACTGACTTATTTGAGTTTGATCACAGCCAAAACTTAAAGATCCTATGAAGCTATTAGGACTGTGTTCTCTGCCTAGAAAAGCATACTTTTAAAAAAAAAACAGGGTGCTCATCATTGCTGCCATGGCCTCGGGTACTACATATGACCACGGTGTTACCCATTTCCCCTACTTCCCCAGATTGGTAGCAGTAGGTCCTGGGCATTTTCTTATTATTCAGGGATGGTGCGAAGGAAAAGTTCAGTCATTCTACATTTCTCTGGGACACTGGACTAGCAAACTGATCTCAAGCCCTAATCCAGGCATTTGGAATCCAGTTCTTTACAGCATTTCCATTCAATTGCCAAATTAACCTTGGACCCCTCTCCAGGGCTCCAGTTCAGAAAAACAAGCAGGGTGAACTCCTATAATCACCTCCTAGCAAATCTGAGCCCCAGAGAAATTAGCACTTTAGCACTTTACTTTTTTCGGCCTTGCTCTTATAAAGAAGAGTTTCATGCGTTAGCCTGTAAGCTCATCTCAAATACTCGAACCCCTACTTACTCTCATCTAGTCAACCCCAAGCACATTTACCAAATTTCAAATGAAATGTACTACTTGTCAGTTTTACACATATGCCTGTTGTATCTGAAACTCCTGCTGAAGAATTTTTCCCACTTACACAGATGTAATTTAATTAATAAAGAATTATTCTTTTAACTGGTGATTGATAATACCTATGCAAAACCAGGTATATTTCTCTGTTAAACCCTTTTTCCTGACAGATCTTCCTCAGGGTTCTCTCTCAAAGCTCTTTTCCCTATAGGCCTTTCCCATGACTTCAATGACTGCTTTTGTGTTGATGTCTGGTAACTTTAGCATTTGGAAGCAACTGGAGATATGGGTCTAGAAGTCTAGGGAGGAAATCTCTCTGGAGATAAGAGATTTTTGAAACATCAACACAAAAGTAGGACATCTACAATGCATCATATCTCAGACACAAGTCATTATCCTCCTGTCCACATCACTGTCTCCAATAGGTACTACTATCTACCTTATAACCCAAGCCAGGGACCTAGGTGGTATCTTAACCCTCTGTATTCACTCTTTGCACAGCAATGGAAGAGATCTTTTGCAAGCATCAAGTGTGATTGTGTTTCTCCCTTCTTTATATGTGGCTCCCCTATAAAGTCCAAAATTCTTGACATGACTCTTTATGAATGGCCCCACACTAACCTCTTTGAAGAGCTTTATTATTTTCTACCCTTTCTTTGCATTTTAGGTTCCAGCCATCATCTTTTATTTCTCCAGATATAAAATGTTTTTCTTCACATCTAGATCTTCACACATATTTTCATTATCTACAAAGTTCTCACTTGAACTTCACCTGGATGATTCCTTCAGGATCACATGTCCCAGAAACTCTTGGGCAGACCTCTATGGCCCAGCCACGCCAGCCTCTTCCTCCTGTAAGGCCATGCACTCCAGCCTCAGCACTTTGTACTGCTGGTTCCTCTGATATGAACTCTCTTCCCCCAGATCACCTCATGGCTTTCCCATCTTCCTTTAAGTCCTTATTCATATGTTACCTTCCCCAGAAGCTCTTCATTGACCACCATATTTAGAATTGCAACCTAAGCCTTCACGTTCTCAACCCCTTTCATGGCTTGGTTCTTCTCTATAGCACTATATCTGACATACTGCATACTTCATTTGGTTGCCTGTCTGTCTCCCTCACTAGGATGTGTGAAGACAAGAATTTTCATCTGTCTGCTCACTATACTAGATTAGCACTTTAGCACTTTACTAATATTACATACCTGGAACATAGTAGATATGCAATAAACTTTGTTTACTAAACAAATGAGAGGTTGAAATAAATACTATTTTTTCTTAGCTATTTTCCCCCACAAACAGGGGAGAAACCCCATCATCATTTCATTTTAGAAGTGGAATACCATAGTAAAGCTCATGAAATGTGAGTGCTCCAAGGAAAGTAGAGTTTGAGAACCCCTGGTCCCTGGAATAATATGATTTAACAAAGAATATTACAAAATAAAATACCTACCTGGAAAGTAAAAGCCATTTTCATCACATCTTGCAATAACCTTCTGGCCTTTGAGGGGATCCCATTTTTTTGATTTGATTTTTTTTGTTGGAGTTTCTTGAAATTTCTGTTGCTAAAAAAGATAAAACATTAATAACTGATACAAAAAGTCAAGGCAGACAGTGAAAATCACAGGTGTGCAGTAGCTTGGGATTCTTTCTGTGAATCACATTACTGAAAAATTACAGATTATACATATACTGTATACTCATTCTGGAGTACTTTCTGTTCTATATTGTTGGGAATAGGATTTTAAAACTGAACTGATGTGGGAACCACTGTCCATATAAAGAGACAGAGTTTGCAGTCTAAACATAACAAAATTTTGTTAGAACAAAAAAAGTCAATTTTTTTCAAAGAATTTGAATAGGATCCAGAGTCTTAAAATATAATATTCAATATATCCATATACAATCCAAAATGAAAGATAAAAAAAGTAAGCAAATATGACCGATTCTTAAGGGAAAAGGCAATCAATTGGTCACAATACTGAGATGACCCATGTGTTGGAATATTTAGGTAAAGACTCTAAATCAGCAATTATAACTATAATACATGAAGTAAAGGTAAATACTCTTGAAAGGAATGGTAAGGTAGTCGTTCTCAGCAGAAAAATAGAAACTATTAAAAAAATAGCCAGATGAAAAACTGACAAGTACAACACACACTATCTGGAAGGGATCAATAGCAGAATTGATATGACAGAGGAAAGAGGCTTGAAGACAAATCAACAGAAATTGTCCAATCTGAAGAACACAGAGAAAAAAGATCTTAGAAATAAGCAAGGTCCTTCTTGTTTCAGATAAACCCTTCAGAACCCAGCTCAGTCATAATCTCTTTGGGAGGACCCTATTCCCAGGCCATTTCAGAAAAAGCAAAGGAAGAGACCACTGTGTTATTTCCAAATGGTTTCCTATGAATTAAGGTTTGGCATAAATGTCATGGCTGTGACCATTACATGGAGAAACAGGCAGCATCATTTTTGATTTGTAAAGTCCAGCTCTGAAGTCCTATTTTCTATGTCTGATGACTGATCATTAATAGAAAGACCAAATCCTCACTACCCTCACCCAAAATATACCCCATTGCATCATCTAGAATAGTCTTTATTTTTAACTCCCAATTTGAGGATCAATGCTCTTGTAAAATAAAGTTTAAATAAATTATTAGAAAACAAAATAAAAAGAAGACATATAGTTTTTGGATTTCTAAATAAAATCTATTTAAGGATTCTAAAAAGCAAATAGTAGCAAATGGGTTAGCAAGAAGACAAGAATTTGAAGTACCACTAAACTAGTGGGGAGTTTACCATTTTTTTCTTCTGGCCTGATCTCAAGGCATCCCAAAACACAGAAGTGGGCACAACAGTGCAGGTAGAGAGAACTCTAGAAGCCTTCTAGTTCTGTCTTGAGGATTGGGAAATGAACTCCTAACACTCAGAGAAAACACAGAAATCCCCTTCCCTCCCCCCTTTTCCCCAATTCTCAGACCTGAGTCCCCAAGAAATCATGTAGCAATGTTTGCAGTGTGGGCTCAAAGGAGCTCAAACCCTAAAGGAGGGAAATCTTTTTGTTTGATTAGTGGCACTATGGTCCCAAGAGGGTGGGACCTGCCAATGTTTTCTGTCTCTCTTTCTCTGGCCTCTGTTTGGCTTCAGATGCAAATACAGTAAGTGGAAGCATGCAAGTGAACTGAGAATGTTAAACCCCAGATTATTGGCTGAGGACTGAAAAGAGGAGCTCTAGGAAACCAGAAATTACCAGGACAATCACTTAGATGAAAAAAGGGAAGACCAAGTATTACCCCAATACCATACCAAGCAGACATCACTAAAAAAGGGAACTACAGACTATATTCCTCATTAATATGGATGCAAAAATCTACAAGGGACCATTAGCAAGTACATCTAGCAACATATAAGGATTTTACACAATGACCAAGTAGGATTTATCCCAAGAATGCAAAGCTGGTTTAATATCTATAAATCAATTAATATGATATACCATATTCAAAGAATAAAGGATAAAGCTATTTTTTTAATGCATAGACAAAGAACATTTGACAAAATCCAACACCTTTTCAAGAAAAAGACTCTCAACAAGCTAGGAATATGAGAACTTCCTAAACTTGGTGAAAAGCATCTATGAAAAGCTTACATGAAACTTCATACTTAATAGTGAAAGACTGATTTTCTTTTAAATTCTGAAGAAAGGCAAGGTACCCTTGACACTTCCATTCAGTATTGTACTTGAGGTACTTACTAGTCAGTGCAGTCAGACAAGAAAAAAAACTGAGGCACCCAGATTGGAAACGAACAAGTAAAACTTTCCTTATTATGAAAGATATGATCCTATATGTGGAAAACCCTAAGAAATCTGCCCAGAAGCTACTAAAATTAATTAACAAGTTCAGCAATATGTCATGATACAAGATAAATATCAAAAAAATGGATTGTATTTCTATGTACTATCAATGAATAATCTGAAATAAAACTAGGAAAAGAATTCTACTTATAACAGCAACAAAAGAATAAAATATTTAGGAACAAATTTATCATAATGTGTAAAAAATATATTCACTAAAAATTTCAAAACATGTAGAGAAATTAAAGATCTAACAAGTGGAGTGACATAACATGTTCATGGATTAGAAGACTTGATATTGTTAAGATAGCCATTTTCCCCACACTGATCTATAGATTCAGTATAATTCATATCAAAATCCCAGTAATTTTTATTGTTGTCATTGCAGAAATTGAGATACTGATCATAAATTTACATGTCAAATGTAAAGGACTCAGAGAGCCAAAACAATTTTGAAAAAGAACAAATTTGGAAGATTTACACTTCTTTATTACAAAATGTACTATCATGAAAGTGCAGCACTGCTATAAGGAGAGTCATATGGTCAATGGACAGTGTTGAGAGTCCAGAAATAAATCCTTACATTTATGGTCAAATGATTTTGACACTTTGGGAAGAAAGTTTTGCAGTTTCTTTAAAAACTAAACATAAACTTACTGAATGCCTTAGAAATACCACTATCTAGCTAAGACAAACAAAAACTTATATCACACAAAGTCTTTTATATGACTGTTCATATCAGCATTATTCACAATAATGAACAGGTGGCACAATCAAAATGTTCATTAACTAGAGAATGGACAAACAAAATGTGGTATATCTATACAATGGAATATTATTCATCAATTTTTATATGAAATATACAGAAGAGGCAAAGTTATAGAGATAAAAACTGATAGTGGTTACCTGGGGCTGGGGGTGTAATCAGAGACTGACTGCAAATGGGCACAAGAGATCTTTTGCTATGGGAATATTTTGCAACTGGACTGTGGTGGCAGTTGACAGCTCTGTCAGTTTTATTAAAAATCACTGAATTGAAAAAGGTAAATGTTTTGATATAAAAATTGTATTTCTATAAATATGTTTTTAAAAAAGTAAAAATAGACAGCCATTTATTTCTGGTTTGCCCTATGTAACCACTCATGGTGTTTTGCATATAGAGGGCTAAGGAGTGAATGAGCAAAGAAGTTTCTGAATCTACTCTTAAATCAAAAGATAAAATAGGCCTTTTTCTTCAAATTGTTACATTGCAGAAACGGAATTTTTCCTCTAGATTTTTTTTTCATTTTTTCCTTTCTTGGCCATTAACTTAATAATTCTTGGGCTTCTTAAAGAAATTAGTTCTCCATCCCAAATCAGAGTGCCCAGTGACATCATTCTCCAGACATCATCTCTTCACAGACCATCAAATGCCCTTCATCCTCATGATATAAAACCAATATAAAATGTTTTCACATGCATTTTGATGCCACTTTTCTTTGCAGTGCTATAGCTATATCATACATAAAGTATTCAATCCATATTTTATGAGTTCATCTGCAGGTCTACAGTTAAGGAAGGCTGTAATTTATTAAACAATTGGCTATAAAAACTTAAATAACTTCAGGTAGTCTGAACACCATTTGCTCTTGGGTCATTATTCATGTTCAATACAGTTTGAGCTCTGGAAATAAGTGAGCTCATTTCCCTGGTGCCCTGATGTAACTGGGTTCTGTTGCAGCCATCTATCATTTGGATTCTTTGAAGATGCTTTTCAGGTTCATTAAAAGAAGTGGGAGTATGGTTTATTCCCTGGGAGATGAAAACTTAGAGTTGGGTCCTCAGAGTGAAGAAATAATGAACTAAAGGGTTAAGGTCCCTTGAAGGAATTAGCCCCGTGTTTCTGGTAGCCTATGCAGTCATGGACAAAAATGTAAGGTGAGCATTACCCTTTTGTCAATGATGCTCCCATTTCATTGGCTTTTACTTGGTCCCTCCATTCTCATGGGATTTCTGTTTTTCCTAGTGAAGTTAATATGTAAGGAGAATAGCTCCATATCATTGGTGAATGGTGAATGTTATGTGTTTGTTCCTGGGCTTTCACTCAGAGGAGAAATCTAAGTTTTCCTCTGAGGGAGATTCAAAACTACCTAGTACAGTCCAAAGTGGCCTCAAAAGGGAGGAGACTGGACCACAAGACAGAAGGAATAGCATCAAGTGCTGCCCATGTGGCTGTGTACCTTGGGCAATCATTTATCCTTCCTGGGCTTCAGTTTCTGCATATGCAAAATGAGGGTACAAACTAAATGGTCTCTAACATTCCTCTAATTTCACATTTGTATACAGGAGCTTCTGGGCCTGACTAGCTTTCTGCACTGCTGGAGAAACTGTCATGCCATGGGTATACATGGATAGGGACACAAGTCTGATATCTTTGTTTGAAGTGTTTACCAAATGACAGAAATGTGCTGGCCAGAACAGTGAACATGAATAGCACAGTATTCTGTCATAATTCTCCAAACAGATGCCTACACCAGTGTCCTACAGCCAGTTCCTCAATGGAAGACTCCATGTATTCTCATTATTGACAGAATTTAGCATCTTGAGAATCTGGAATATGCCAAGTTAAATCGGCTGTTGCTTATAAACTTCACCTTTAAATAAAGTTTAACTTTGAAAGCCACTTCGGTTCATGCCACCAGTGTTCACATCAAAGACCAAGTGGCCACGG